CCATAAATCGAAGATTCGGCTCTGGATAGTCCTCTGTTGGGGGGGGCCTGGGGGGGGGGGGGGGGGGGGGGGGGGGGGGGGGGGGGGGGGGGGGGCGGGGGCGGGGGCGGGGGCGGGGGGGGGCGCGGAGGGAGGAGGGAGAGAGAGAGAAAGAAAAAGGGAAGCAGGAGCGGGGAGTGGGGAACGGAGCGAGGAAGGGAGAGGGGTAGGGCGCGAGGGGAAGGAAGGAAGGGGGGGGACACACCTGGCAAGCCGGAAATGCCGCTCGGAACGGTGAAGGTGGCGATGCGCCGGAGAACGCGGCTACCGCGCGGCGCGTCGCCGGCCGGGGCGCTCTGCGGGGCAGCCGGGGCCCGCAGTGGCGATGGTTGCTGCTGCGGCTGATCAGATGGGGGCGGGGCCCGGGCGAGGGGGCTCACCCCGCGGCGGAATCCACTCATGCTCGGGCGAGGAGGAAAGGAGAGCGCACAAGACCCCAGACGGGCGAGGAGGGCAAACGGTGGGAGCGGAACACGGGGGCCGGCAGCAAGAGGGCGGGGGAGGGGAGAGAGTATGCGACTGCCTCTCCGAGAAGCTGGCCAGGTGAACAGGGATGCCTGAAAAGACGAATCTAAAGGCGGCCGGTTGGTGTATTATTACGGGATGCACGTGCAGGCGTGCGCGCGCACACACACACACGCACGCAGGCACACGCCCGGGGGTGGGGGGATCACTGTCGGGCTTGCTCCCCGTCTCCCGCCCCGGGGCCGGAGATTGCACGTTCGTGTGTGTGTGGGGGGGCGGGGGGACGGGGGGGGTGCACGCGCGCCGGGACGCGCCATCGGGCGGGTCAGTTGGCAGGTGTCCCCTCGCCGGCCTTGGGCATGGTGGCCGGCGAGGGGTCCGGGGCCAACGCCGCGGATGATGACGCTCCGGAGGATGAGGAGGCGGGCAGCCGAGGTGTCGAGGGGGATGGGGTGGCGCCGGTCGGCTTGGGCACGGGGGTGGTCGCCGGGCCGTCTGGCGCGCGGCGGGGACTCCCACCGAGGGCCAGCGCCGCGGAGGGATGCTTCATGAGGGCATCAAGGCCGCGCTCCAAGGGAGGACGGTGTCCGCCCATGGTCAGGGCACGGCGGAAGAGGAGCAGCTTGTCCAGCAGGCCGCCCCGGATGATGGCCCGGTCGTCGAAGTACGAGTCGCCCATGGTGACCGGCTGCTGGCCGGCAGCCCCGGCGGTGCCGGCGGCGTTAGCAGCTTGCCGAGCTCGGCTGCCGGGCCGCGGGGCAGGGGCCACGCTCGCGGGCCTGCTACTGGTCGGCATGCTGGCCTGCAGGTAGGTCACCTGCTCGTAGAGGGCCTCCTCGTCGCTGGGGACCGGGAGGTCGGCGGCGGCGGCCAGCTCGGTGACCACGCCCCCCGGCAGGGCGGCCAGCGCGTCTGGCGGTAGAAAGAAGGAGTGAAGATGCTCCTCGGCCTCGGAGTCGGACTGATCGCCGCCGGCCGGCTGGTACGGCCGGCCGGCATCCAGGAGCGACAGGAGTGCCGCCCGGCCAGGGTGGGGGGCGTTTGATGGCGCGGCAGAGGCGCGAGACTCGACAGCTCGCTTGGCGCGCACCTTGCCGGCGAGTGTGCTGGGAGGAGGAGTCAGCGAGGGATGCCCGGAAAGGGGCGGTGGGGGGGGGGGGAGAGAGAGAGAGGCGCGGGAGCGGGGGGCCACAAGCCGCGATGCGGCTGGCGACATGGCAGGAGCGAGGGGAGGCGAAGGTGAGGGGGAAACGGGGCGTACCGGTTGAGCCATCTGAGACGCTGATTCCCGTGCCGGAGGATCTGGTTGTCCTGGGCAAGGTGTTGCCCAGTAAACTGCACCGGCCAAGCCCGGTGGTGGGAAGAGGAGGGCGTCCCGAGAAGGGAGGGTGAGTGGGGGGGGGGGAGGCGGCGGAGGGAAGAGGAACGATAAAATGGAGAGGAAGAGGAACGATAAAATGGAGAGGAAGAGGAAGGAGAAGTGGAACAAGAAGAGAAAGAAGAGGGTCACGCAGGGGCGAGGCCCGGGGTGCGAGGCAGAAGGCACGCATACCAAGCGATCTGGCTCCACGGAGCTGCCCTTCGGCAGGGACATGGCGGGGTTCGGGGGGGGGGCAAGCCGGCGGGAGCGGGGGGCAAGAAAGGCAGGACGGGTGGACAGAGAGGAGCAACGAAGATAGGACGGGTGTGGGGGAGGGGGGCGGGGTTAATCCGCCCGCTCCGGCTGTTCGCGTCCCGCCCCTTTTCGGGAGGCGCCTCGTCAGGCGAAAGGCCCGGCGCCGGTCGACGCGCCGATCGGACACGGCGCATACGTTGGCACATGATTGGATAGCGGCGCGAACTCCCCCGAGTACCGACGCATGCGCCATCGCGGGCCCATACGTCGGCATTTGGGATCGCCAAACCGCCCTGTTTGGGGCGGCTCTCGGGGGGGGGTGCGGGGTGCGCGCCGCCGGGGCACTTTTCGCTGCTGCTGCTGCTGCTGCTGCTGCTGCGGCCCCCCCTCGTTGCTCCACTCGCGCGGGTCGGGCAAACGGAGGCGCGAATTTCCCGCATCATCCGCGCCTCCCTATCGGGCGCCTTTTGACCGTGGCTGAAGGCCGATACCGCCCGGCCGCCGGGCTTGCCTCCCGCGGCTGTTGGGCCCGCGGCGAGTCCAGGCAGGGGATAATGCGCGCGACGGGACCGGGGCGGGAGCGGAGCGCGGACCGGGCACTGGGCGCGGTCGCTGCGTGCAATTTTGCGCGCCCGCCCCGTCACTAACCCGCCGGGGGGGGGGGGGGGGGGGGGGGGG